ATATTTATACATATATATATATATATGTATAGCCATGCGCGCGTGTGTGTGTATGTGTGTGCCTGAAGATGTGCATAGACGAAAGTATTTAAAATTAAAACTTAATTATGTGTAAAACATTTCTGGTTTGTGCGTCTTTACCAATAAATTCCAACAAAATCTTTTTTTTAACCCCAACACACCAGCAAAGTGTACATCGATTTTCTCTCTTTTTTTAATACTTATGTGTAACTTACGTAAAAAATAAAATAATTCATCTCTCTTGTCTCTTTCTCTTTTTTTCTCTGCCTCTGTGATAATACCTTTCTTGTCTTTCTCCGCTCCATTATTTATTATTGTTGTTATAATTTATCCCAATTTGTGTACTTATCGAGCTTATATCAAAACAATAATAATAATAATAATAATAATAATAATAATAATAATAGTGCTATTTATGTAACCTGCATAGAACTGGCAAATCGCTCTAAGCGCTGCGTTCCAAATAATAAAATTACTTCATAAACCCTTATATATAGCGTAGCATAAATAAAAACACAATCATTGTTAAATGTCAATTATTATAAAAGAAATAAATTTTTTAATTATCAACAACAAGAAATCTTTTATACAAATATATAATGAAATTGTAGAGCAATTATCATATTAAAAAGAAACACTCAAAATATTCAGGTGCCATACTGTGTGCAGTACCTCATTAAATAAGTGATCCCTTTATATAGTAATTTATTGTTCCTGTATCCGCTATCACTATTAAATGTTCACGCCTAAAATGTTGAAATAAGAAAAAATTAAAATCAAAAATCAACCTTGTTCCCTTTCAGTAAAAACAGTTAGTTATAAATATGTTTGTTAGAAAGTGTAGGAAAATTTACTTAATTTCGAAAATTATGTTAAATTATTGTTATGCTGTTTTAATTAACTGTCTTAAAGAGAAAAAAAGAAGAAAACAAAGAAGATCTTATCACTTAAACCCCACATCTTAAACTTCCTCTGTCACGTCTCTCCTATTCTTACTTAACTTTTCACTCGTTCCCTCGTTTCCTTACCTATTAATTATTCTTTCATTATTTCTCTGGTTGTATTTTTTTTTTTTTTTTTTTTTTTTTTTTTTTTTTTTCTAACTTCAATCTCCTTTTCGCTCTGTTTCTCTATGTACATCTTACCTCATTACTTCTGTCTATCGGAGCTTTTGAATTTGAACAAAACAACCCGAACATAAATGTTATGTTAAAAGCATTTAAAAAATTTTGGCATGTTAGTACTCTTATTTATATTATAATTTTTCTTTTTCTTCTTGTTTTTATATTTCTGTTATTATTCTTCTGTTCTATATTGCATGCATTACTCTGCTCTCTATCTCTATCAGCATTTCTCACTCTGTGTATCTTCTCTTTGTATGTTAACGTTGACTGTGGCGTCTATTATTTTCGTTACAAATCTACTCACTTGCTATAAAAGTAGTAGCTGTAATATATATATATATATATATAAAATCCAGTTTTCTTTTTCAATTTTATTAACCGCTTATATATATTCTATATTTTTCTTATTTCCTGCGTTTAGATCAACGATCTCAATGCTCAAGTCAATGATCTTCGTGGTAAATTGTAAGTTTTCTTTCTGATCTTCTTTTCTTCTTTTCTGTTTTTCTTTTTTTTTTTCGTTTTTGTTTGATTTCAAGCAAGTAAATTAATGATTTTTCTTATAGCGTGAAACCAGCTTTGAAGAAGGTGTCTAAATACGAAAACAAATTTGCTAAACTGCAAAAGAAAGCTGCCGAATTCAACTTCCGCAACCAACTCAAGGTTGTCAAGAAGAAGGAATTCACATTGGAAGAAGAAGAGAAAGAGGTAACCTAATCAGAAACTTTTAGTAAATTTTAACAAAATGATTATGAATCGATTCCTGAAGCACTGTATGTATGTACTATTAAAAACAAAGGATTGTTAATAAGAATTATTTCGTGAAAAAAAGAAAAAGCTGCAGTAAGCAAAGCAACTTTTCGAACAGCGTATAAGCGATGATGGTTTTCAAATGTCTCAGTTGCCGAAACGTTCAACGATGGTTAATATGGTTGAGCCCTTTAGAGATTTTCAAATTTATATTTAAGCTGGAATTATAACAACGTTTTGTAAATACTCCTTCCAGCCCTAATTTCCAAGAATTAAAAAAGCAGATGGTTTACATCTCGTCCGGAAATACTTTGCATTCTTCTTTTGTCCGCAGATATGATATCTGCTGATATAGAAAGTTCCCTCTACTAATGAAATCTCTGGACAGAAAAGCAAAAATTCATAGAAATGATGATCTTTATTTTCCGTCTTTGGGGAGCCAGTTCTTATTCACTATCTCTCAAGTTTCCGTATATAGTTCTTCTACAAGTACAAATCGAAGGAATATAAGAAAAAAAATCCTTAAAAGGCGTGCACATATGGAGGATGGAGAAAATGATACGAACGCTATGCAATGTAGTGCCATTTTGTATACTGCTTCCGCTTAAATAATGCGCCGCGTATGCATTACTTGCGTGTCATTAGTTTGCGTGTCAAGTCTTGCAGGATATATTTCAATGCATTATACGCTTTAAAATTAAAGTAAGCGATCGGTGAAATGTGTGATTTCTCAGACTTGCAAAGAGGGCAAATCGTTGGTGGTTGGTTAGGTCGGAATAGGAGCCACGAAAGCTGCTGAACTGCTTAACGTATCCCAAACCACAGGAACCACACCAACCACAGCATAAATAAAATATGATGCGACATCATCGGTGAAGATGAATAGTAGGCGAAACAAAAGTTGACTGACAGAGACCGACCAAACATTAAAAACACTTCATTAATAAATGAATATTGTGCAAATGTCAAGTGTTCATATTACCTTGTCCATTGACTGCAGCAATCTATATACACAAAAGAAGAGCAAATGCATTCATTTTACTATTTATCACGCTGTGAGTATAAGCGCGACTAAAAATAAATTCAAATTTGACAGTGCAGTGTGGAACGAAATAGAAAAACGTATATAAGTTGCACTTGCGATAGCTAAAAATTTTTATTGCCCCATATAAGTTAAGCTCAAAGGCTAACCAAAGCAGCGACTCGCATCGATTTACCCCAAAAGAAAAATGTCGTCCGAATAAATGATTTATATATTTTTAAAATACCAAGACTTCATCTTATAACTGTTGTGCACAGTTACATTATCGTTTTGTAACTTTTAAAAGAAACTTGCGGGCTTCCATTTTTCTCATTTGGATTATAAATATTTTCCAAGGATTTTGAGCTGATTTTTTATTGCTAGACTAAACCTAAATGATCAACTTTTCGTTTTCCCTATTAAGAAACTAACTTCGTTTTACATACTCATGATGAAAATGTGCTAAGAAGTTTTCATTTGTTTAAAAAGCATTTATTTGTTTTTCAAGATTTCTGCCATACATTTCAATGAAGTATGTCATTCATATTATACACTTATTCTCGTTTCTAGTCTCAGATTCAGAAAGGAAATTCATAATTACCCCTTCGACTATTTGATATATTGCAGAACATTCCCCTCCTTAGCTTTATCCAATAATGAGAAAAAACTTTATCCCAACGCATGATTAAACCATGGTTCGGCACTTGATCCTCGTCGATGATTTCCTTTTCATTTCATTAGTAAGAAGCAGCCTAGTTTGTTGCCCTTAGCTCATTGTTACTCTATCATTAGAATTATAATTCGACGCAGGAATTGCTATGAATGCGAATAAATAGCCTTCTCTTCAAAAAGACAGCAGTTAAAGTAGTGAAAATCTTTCCGTAAACGTGAAATGAGATCTACATGCAGAGGCAACTGTTTAATCATTAACTGTGAACGCACACATAAAGAGCTTGAACATTATAAACCAAAATAAAAAAAACTGTTGGATTTTTTGAGGGCATTTAAATTGCTTTAGTATTATAACACAGGTAAAAGAATTATCCGGCAATGACTGCTTTGATGATTCTTTTATACCCATCATTATTATCCTAAAAAAACTAAAAAGAACAGGAAAAAGATAAATTTCCATGCTCTCTAATAGTAGGGTCTGATTTGTTCTTCTTTTTTTTTCTATTGTAGAACTAAAGCTTGCTTGGAAGTTTTTATTGCAGTATATCTGTTGTAGTTTTTGAGAAATGGGCAAAATGCATGGAAAGCAAAGGTGTTTCTGGATTTTGTTGGACTGTAGGCCTGTTCTTTGACCGGCCATTTCAAATTCTTTTGCAAATTCGTAGGCGATAGCTTGATTTATGCGGCCAGGAGAGTGTTTACAATAGATATTATACAGTCGGAGAGACGAACCGGCTTAAATTGAGTTACAATCAAATATATGAATCATATATATACAATCATATATATGATCAAAAATATAATACAATCTGGGGTCTCGTATGTTTACTGAATAACGAAGAGAAATATTCAGTCTAAACTTTCACCTTTTGTGGATATGTTCAAGGGCAGATCGCACTCAGTGACTTATGAAAATGCGTCATTTGCAAACATTTGTGGCTCTGAAATTACAAAAATTAGGTGGATGGACGGGAAAAAGACAAAGCGATAAAACAGCATAATTAAGCAGGCTTTTAATCTGATGCTGGTGGAGAATAAGTATAATATAGCGCAGCGGTTCGCAAGTCTTATTTTATTTTCACTGCGCTGAAAAACTTCGTCGCACGTCTTCCCCCAAACACTAAACCCCAGTTCTTGACCCTTTCATACATGCAATAGCACGGTCACATTTCAAATAACAAACATTAAAAAAAAAAAAAGAAGCATTTTATTATAAAAGATTTGACGCATTTCTTGGCCATAAAATGCGTCTCCCATGGTTGGAGCGCCTTACATGTGCATTGACAAGCCTATATGCGAAACTATTTATAGGCATCACTGCTTATTACTAAACAAAGGATTAGTATAATTACAAATTTAAAGAGTATAGACTCTAATTGAGCGGTAGTGAGAATTAAAAACAAGCAAAAAAATAAAGTTTAAAAGTTAATTAATTTCAAGTGTAATCTAATATTTGTTCTTCTCTTTCATTTGTTTATTTCCTTCCATGGTATAGAAAAAAATAAAAGACACAACATTAAATAAGGCCAAGAAGAATTAAGAACATAGTAAGACTTTTAAATTTCAATTACTCTATTATTTATTTCATCATTTATGTACATGTCTGTATGTTGTTGTTGTTACAATATTCATATTCATGTATATGAATGAACAACGCAGCATCATGTGTCATCTTTGTATTGTACATTTTAAAAGAAGCAAAAATATGTAATTTTTTTCTGAACTTGTTTTTGTAGCACCAGCAATTGTTTCGAGCTTATCAATGAATATCTATCAGTCAATGTCGTCACTTCTTCCCCAGAACAATTTTAAAAACCCGTTCATCTTCTTTTCTTTTTGTTTCTCTGTATTTTGTGTAGTAAATGTAGTTCTCTTTTTTCTTTTTTTTTTTTTTTTTTGTGTACACACGTTCAGAATGCAATCTCAGTCAGCATGTTTCAATTTAGTTATCATAGTTTTTGTAAAGATCCATGCGGAAAAAATATTTCCAAAAGTAAAAAAAAAAAAAAAAATAATTTAATAAAATAAAATTTAAAAAAAAAAAAAAAAAAAAAAAAAACAATTATTACAATAATATTTTAAATTTTTTTTTGTCCTTTGTTTCTTGACAACTTGCAGAAGAAACCCGACTGGTCCAAGGGTAAACCTGGTGATGCTAAGGTAAAAGAAGATGTTGAAGTCGAAGCCTAAGGGTTCCTGTTACACATCTTGAATGCTCCCAGATATTAATTTTCCTTTTGTTTATTTCCTTTTTTTTTTTTTTAATTTAAAAAAACAAATAAATTTAAAACAACTATGTAGATCCACTAAATTAAAAATTTTTAAATGTCCCAGCATATATATAAATAAATCAATAAATATAA